TATGTATGTCAACAACACGACTACAACGACAACACTACCTCGAAGCACATTCCTGATTTAGCACAGACTTTTCAAGTATGGGAAAGCTGCGAAAGTAGGCAGCTCTATTGGAGAGTATCTCGCTAGGCGGTGTCACTTCAATGTCAATGCAATGCAAACGCTTCTCGTATACCTGTTGCGCATCCTGCGACATAACGCACGGCTCATAACTGGTAGCGCAAATCATATTTTCACCATGCCTCTTTCTAAATAAATACACAAGAGAAGAAAATAATGAATTTTAAAATTCAAGCTAATCATAAGTAGCGTCTTGTTTTCAAATATTTTAATTGTAATCTATTGGTTTGAAAAATTAAATATATCGCTTAATATCTATCCAACAAATATAGAGAAACTAACTATTGACATCCTTAAGTTCCCAAAACGAGAAAATTCAATAGTTCTCCTTCTTCAAATCCCTTACCTTAGGAGTTTCACGCGCTGGTCGAATATACGCAAATTTGCATCCGGTTCCTTTTCCCACATCGCCAAAATTTTGTTGTCGATTAGTGTTGCAAACATTTGAGATTCTAGAAAGCGCGATAAAAACGCGCGATGATGTTCAGGCTGATCTGATAAAAATGATGATTTATCAAAATTTTGTAATGTCTCTCGATTTGAAAGCCATTCGTCACGTGCTTGATTTGGGTAGATGACGAAAAATTCATAAGCGTAAAACATATGCACAAAGCGATTGAGAAAAGTCTCTCGCAGCGCATTGTTTATACGCAAATCCTGGTAGTATTGCTCTTCTAGCGATAACGTAGGAGTTGTCGTCTTTGTATCCTTACGCGCAGCTGCGGCAGCTTTAGTTGGCGACATCGTTGCGTCGACGGCATCAAAGCTTGTGCCATCATTGAGCGACACAGCACTTGGTGACTGTGTACGTACACCTTTTCGCCGCAAAAAATCGGCAATGCGTGGTACATGTTCGATTTTCGAAGGATGTGCAATGAGTGGTTGATATTCGAGATGATGACCGATGCCGTTGTCAGCACCAGTTGGACTACAATGACCGCTACCGGCCAGCGTGTAAACGGTCTCTTGCAGTTGACTAAAACGTTCTTTACTGCGACGTGCCGCTTGTAGACCGGACGGCAACGTACAACTACTAATCATAACGTCGTGATCGCGTGANGCAATGACCGCTACCGGCCAGCGTGTAAACGGTCTCTTGCAGTTGACTAAAACGTTCTTTACTGCGACGTGCCGCTTGCAGACCGGACGGCAACGTACAACTACTAATCATAACGTCGTGATCGCGTGACGCATAACCGTTTTTCAGTATTGGTTCATATGAACGATCACGTTCTATTTCGAATTTATCCAAAATGGATATTATTTCTGCCATGAAATCGATTTTATGTGGAAATACTGGCAATTCTTCAGGCAGTTGTATAATTTTCTTATCGATATCTACAAAGCAAAGAGTAGCTTCAGTACCAATTTTATTAGCGGACTCGCAATCAGCATGGAGGCCCATGACAAATGGCACGGGTGCATCTAGAAAATGATGGAGGGCAGCGGGCAATATTGGGGCATACACATGTGGCCATACAAATGGAAATAGAATGGAAGTGATGCACTCTCCAACGATCATCAATTTTTGGTAATCTAAAAAAAATTAAATGACAAGTGTAAAAAATGTGATGATTAAGAGATTTCACAAAGTGTTCAAGCCAATTTTAAGCATAACCTACCATTTGAGCGCAAAAGGACTTGATTTTCTAGCAAAACACAGGTCANATTAAATGACAAGTGTAAAAAATGTGATGATTAAGAGATTTCACAAATTATTCAAGCCAATTTTAAGCATATCCTACCATTTGAGCGCAAAAGGACTTGATTTTCTAGCAAAACACAGGTCAATAACTGTATAACACATTCTACACCAAGATACGTAAATAGCAATCGTAATGGAAAGTCGAGTAATGGCAGTTCAGAGCTTGGCTCTGGGCGCTGCAGTACCACAGCTAAGGGCGGCAAGTGCGGCTCAGAAGGAGGCAAGTAAATTCGTATTGATTTTCCCGGCTGTGGTAACATTACTTCATACAGAATATTATAGACATAGGATTCGAGACTAATGCCTGGTCCAGGTTGGCGTGGAAGACATCTATGACATGTTCGCAAGAATTAATTAAATACAATTACTAAATATATTTCATACATATCGCTCATTTACTTCAAAAGTGTCATAACTCAAAAACCCAAGACTCGAGATAAACGGCTTAAAGGTTTTGAATTTACATACATATGAATAAATATTTTGTTTTAGTGAGACAACACAGAAGAAGAGATATCGGTAATTTCTGCATACTCAACTCGGTTTG